TTATAAACTTAAGTAACACCCTAGCTAAAGCAAACTAATTTATATTATGTTTCTTCATAGGGAGTACATTGTAAGTCTAAAAATTAACTCTTAATTAGAATGGGTATCTTGATTTCTGCAAAACAGCTCATTTATCTATATAGGCAAATAAGACGATATGCAAGTTCAAGTGGTATTTGTTCACTGATCTCCAAATCTATGACAAATGGGTAGGGGTAGTACTAAGACCACTTCTTATAATAGCATATTTCTATTTTGTTCAATAAGAACTTATAGGCATGGAATTAGAAATCTGTACCTTAATAATGTTTCCAGGTGTTTCAAATGCACAACACACAATAAAGTTTGAGGGACATGGGTTTTGAACTCAAAGTTCCTCCAGTTGTCTACGCTTCTAATAGTAGTCCCCTAATTAACTCATCCTTATTTAATAATCTCTTGGTCCCAGGCTACAAAGTAAACATGAAGTAATAGGAATGAAGTAGAATGCTAGAAGAAATCTGAAAATTGAATCTTTGTTTCTCCACATCCCTAGGCTCCTAAATTGTGAAAAGAATTACCTAGGCTCCAAAAGTTGGAGGCAAAAAGAGATCACAGAGGCTTAGAACCATTGTTATTGCAATGCCAACCATTTGAATAACTAATTAAATCTCTGGAAATTACAGCAAAATTTAAAGTTGCTTTATGAGCAATTATTTTAGCATGTCCAAAGTATCCTCTAATCTTAGCCAATGCTAAGGGCAGACCTCCTGGGAGCAGAGAAAACTTTTTTTGATGTAGCAGGATCCCAGGGGGGATTAGCGGTTAAAGGGATCCCTGGTCACCAGGGCCCCACTAGCTCAATAAAGCTAATATGCATCCCAAAGTATCCAAAGATCTTGATCATTTCCATATCAAGACCTGGATCCTTGACAGAAGGGTATTGCTTTCATTTAACTCTGTTTTTACCCGCTTCTTTAACAGAGGAATTAGTTGATCTCTCATGATTAGGAAACTAAAAGAAATAGTTGGTCCTGACTAAAACACCATCATCATAGAATATACCATCTCCTTAGAGTTTTCTACTGTTTACTGTTAGAATCTAGTATTTTTTTCAGGTGCATTACCATTAAAATTCCAAAAGTCAGTCTCACCTCCTAGATGTTACTATGCAAATGATTCAGAATAAAGACAGTAGTTATTCTGCCCAATTCTGTGTGGAAATGCAAAATCTCTGGCTTGGAACTCTGGTAGTTCCCTGTCAATTGCATTACCATTCTAAGACCACTTCTTACAACAGCACATTTCTGTTTTGTTCAATAAGAACTTATAGTCATGGAATTAGAAATCTGCACTTTAATAATATTTCCAGGTGTTTCAAATACACAATACACAATAAAGTTTGAGGGACATGGGTTTTGAACACAAATTTCCTCCAGTTGTCTACCCTTCTAATAGTAGTCCCCTAATTAACTCATCCATATTTAGTAATCTCTTGGTCCCAGGGTATAAAATAAACATGAGGTAATAGGAATGCCAGAGGTCCAAGCCAGAATCAGATGAAGACATGGAATTAGAGATATCACTGCTAATGTCAGATGGATCTTGGCTGAAAGCAGAGAATACCAGAAAGATGTTTATCTGTGCTTTATTGACTATGTAAATGCTTTCAACTGTATGGATCATGACAAGCTATGAATAACATTGTGAAGAATAGGTATTCCAAAACACACAATTGTGCTCATGGGGAACCTGTACATAGACCAAAAGATAGTCATTTGAAAAGAACAAGAGGACACTGAATGTTTCAAAATCAGATAAGGTGTGCACCAAGATTATATTCTTTCACCATACTTATTCAATCTGTGTACTGAGCAAATAATCTGAGAAACTGGATTATATGTGGAAGAATGAGGCACTAGGATTGGATAAAAACTTATTAACACTGGGTGGCCAGCAGTAAGTGAGAACTGGGGACTCCTGAGCTCATGGACAGGGACACAGTCACAGAAGACTATAGCAGAGAGTGATGCATCCAGTTGATGTGAAGTGAGGGGAGATGCACAAGGACACACATACTTGCAGATAGTATTCGTTTACGTAGCTTCAATGACTGGATGATCAGAACTCGACTAGAGGAAGAAAGAAGAGGAAAATGAATGTAATCCACTACAATTTGATGAACTTGACCTATACTTATGGATGAAGTAGCTTAAAAGAGGGAACAAATCTTTACAGCAAGGATCATTCCCACCTCATCTACAGAGATGGGCAATTTAGACATTAGCTACCCAAAATGAGGGCGGCAAAAAAGGCATGAAGTAACTGGCTTAGAGGTTTTCAAGAAGAAGCTTAGTTTCCGAACATACGGGGGAGGTAGAATCTCCACTGAGTGGTTTCTAACCTGTGTAGATGGGACTGGTAAAAGGAGATGGGGATAAGACTCTTGTGATTCAATAGTGAACAATTACTATCAGTACTGATTGTGAATGTTGCAAATGTAAAGGTAGACATTTTGTAACAAAAGGAGGGGAGTGATTCATCTTGCAGTCCAGGAGTGGAGGACCCTGGGACCATCAAGGGAGAAGAGTGAGTGTGGAACCCTATCCAGAGAAACAGCGATGGCAGAGGTGATGACATGGAGAGACAGAGCAGCTGGGGACTCTAGACTCAGGGAGGGAGACTGGCTGTGTGCTGGTGGTCTGGGGGCTGGAGTGCAGGGTTGTTTGAATGGTTATATAATCCTGAGAGCTTCCGTGTACATCCAGAAAAAACAAAAAACAAAAACAGAGGGATTGGAAGCAAATGCTATTGAATGATGATGCATGGGGGAGATTGAAATTATTGCAATGAAATGAAATACAATAGGATGAATGTAAAGCTGATGCTCTCCCATGTCAATTATCACTCAATTCACAATAAAAACTTATATATAAAAAATAACAACTTATTAACAATCTGTGATATGCAGATGATACAACCTTGCCTGCTGAAAGCCAAGAGGACTTAAAATACTGATGAAGATCAAAGACTACAGCCTTCATTAAGAATTGCTCCTCAATGCAAAGAAAACAAAAATCCTCACCACTGTACTAGTAAACAGCATCCACATAAATGGAGAAAACTTAAAGTTGTCAAAGTCTTCATTCTGACTGGATCCACAATCAATACTCGTGGAAGCAGCAGTCAAGACATCAAATGACTTATTGCAGTAGGCAAATTTTCTGCACAACACTTCTTTAAAGTGTTGAAGAGCAAAGATGTCAGTTTGAGAGCTAAGGTGCACTTGACCCAAGCCACAGTATTTGCAATAACTGCATATGAATGTGAAAATTGGACAATGAATAAGGTAGACCATAGAATTAATACATTTGAGTTATAGTATTAGAGAAGAAAATTAAAGTACATCCAGAAAAACAAACAAATCAGGGTTGGAAGAAGTGTAGACAAAATACTCCGTAGAAGCCAGGATGGCAAGAACTGCCTCTCTCATACTTCACACATATTATGAGGAGGGACCAGACCCTGAAGAATGATATCAGGCTTGGTAAAGTGGAGGGTCCACGAAAAAGAGGAAGACCCCCCAACAAGATGTACTGGCACAGTGGCAACAGCAATGGGCTCACCCATAACAGTAATAGTGAGGATGGTACAGTCCAGGCAGGATTTGGTTCTGTTGTGCATAGGGTTGGCATGAATTAGAACTGAGTGGACAACCCCAAACAACAACAACATATTTATCACAGCATGGTGGCTCTGTAGAATAAACACTGGACTGTACACCACACAGTTGGTGACTCAAGCCCTACTAGCCACTCCACAAGAGAAGATGAGGATTTCTGCTCCCATAAAGTTCTACAGCCTCAGAGGCCCTATACGTGATTACTGTGACTTGGTACACACTTGACAACACTGAACAATAACAACAACCTATTTGTCAATAAATAAGCATAGGGCTTATGGGTCTACATACTAATGACGGCACCTAATATTGGGCTCGAAGCACACAGGAGCTCCAAGGGTATTGCCAAAAACAATTAAAATGAAGCTCTTGGCATAAGTAAAATGGCTAGTTTAGGATTTGAGACTGGACTTCATTCCTGATTCTACTAAGTCAGTAAATCTTTCCTCTGTCTATAGTCATGTGGATTCAGGATGTCATACCTAGATCTCAGAGAGAATCAAAAAGCAAACGGTATCTGACACCTCCTTATTTAGAATGTTCTCATAAAACTTATTATGGTAAGCAAGTTATTTTCAATTTACCTTGTTAAAATAATGTATCTGATGTCTACTGAATATTTTAAAGAAATACCTGCACTATACATTCTCAGGAAACCTATGTCTTAAAATAGTTCATCGATACCTAGCAAACCTATTTGCTATCTGATTTTGGAACAAGTGCTATCTTGACACTGTCCTTCTTGTCACCTATCTGCAGATCCAGCTGTCCACACATACATCTTTTAGTTCCATTACTGACAGCACCATTATGAGAAAGTTTGCCTTAACTTTTGAATGTTGTAAGCCCTGTTGTTTGTCTGCACTGTACATAAAGGTCTGTGTAATTATTGTGCCTCAAACTGTGGTTTCATTTTTAATAGACAATGAAGTTCCTGGTTCAAATCTTTCATTAAACCTTCCCTTAATAAACCTCTCTATTTTACCTTGAAACAGTATTCAAGTCTTTTTATTTACTTATTTATTTTTGCTACAGTGGTGATGGTGTTTTATGTGGAATCACTTTTGAATGAATGTTCAAAAGGCCACAACAAGGCTAGTAGCAGAAAAGTACTCCAGTAATATGACAGCGGAATTATGACATGTAGTAAATGAGTATGTTTTCCCTTCCAAATTATGATGGATCTGGAAGTACAAGATTCAATTTACAAAGTTTGTTCCCAGGGTGACATGCAATGGGAAAGAAAGGTGTTTAACATTCTGTCATCTCTCACTTTTGTAGCAGTGGGAGAAAACCAAATAACTAGGAAAGAAACACTTACAAGACAGTATCCACCTACCTGGTTGGCACAATCTTGGGCAGGGCGTCCACTCACTGAACGGAGTCACAATGCAGTGTTTTTTGCATGGGAGGAGACACTGACGCACTGTTTCTGGCCGAGTAGAATCTGGACATCTGTCAATCAAGAGAATTCATCAGTGCCTCCTGGAGAGAGTGTAGTGTAACACAGGATTTTCTAAAACATTGAGACTCTCTTATTCCTTCTGAGGAGCCCTGGTGGCACTGTGAGCTAGATGTTGGACTGCTAACCATATGGTTGGAGGTTCAAGACCACCAGTCCTCCATAAGACAAACATGAGGCTGTGTGCTCCCATAAAGATTTACAGTCTTGGAAACCCTGCCTGTCCACGATGAGTTGGAATCGACTGGATAGTACTAGGCTGTTTGTCTGGCTTGATCCTTTTATAGACGAGAAAACAAAGACCCAAAGGGGTGAAGTTACTTGACCCAGGACACAGAACCAGAGGGAAAGCCCAAGCAGTCTTCAGCTCTCTTGACCCAGAATACTTCTGTTAGACCAGAAAAAACCTCACAACAAACCCTGCTACTAATGAAGGTTATAGACAATAATAATAAGCAAAAGCAATAGCAAAACACTAAGCAAGTGATGTGTACGACTTAAGTTTATTTATCCTTACTTAGGCTGATGAGATTTAGTTTCCTTAGGGCATTAAAAAAAAAAAAAGCATTAAAACTAGATTACATAATAGGCACATAGAATATTTATTTGTAAGTTGATTTATAAGATATTAGAAATTAAAAATCATTGAAGACCATTTAAAAATACTATACATCCTTGATAACAGAATTCTATAATATTTAAGTAATTGGCAGGTTATCTCTATAGAACCTTAGTTCTTGTTAAAGTACCATTGAGCTGGTTCTGACTCATAGTGACTCTGCAGAAGGTTTCTGAGGAGCAGCTGGTAGGTTTGAACTGCTGACCTTATGGTTAGTTGTTGTTATTATGTGCCATGGAGTCAGTTCTGACTCACAGCAACCTTATACAGGGTTTCCGAGGCTGTGAATCTTTACAGGTGCAGAAAGCCTTATCTTTCTCCCATGGAACAGCTGGTAGTTTTGAACTGCTGACCATGATATTAGCAGCCCGATTCATTACCACTATGCTGGTTATGATCCTACAGTCAACACTATGCAGTGTTGATCCTACAATGCCACACCAGGACTCCATAGAACATACGTAGGCAAAAACAAATGTGACAGACTGCAAATAGCAAATATAATAACTAGCAATAATAAGAGAAACATTTCAGCTACATTATTTTGCTGATAATTGATTCAATGCTCCTATTTGGGAAGGAAGTAATACAGTCATAATTGGGTTCACAATCACTTTGAAGAACTAAAGTCTTAGAAAATGGCAAACAAGTTTTTGTGAGTGTGTTTGATTGTCTTTATACATATATATATAAGGCTAAAAACTACATTGATTAGTGATAAGATGAAATTCACAGAATTTTGAAATATGCATTTGGAATTTAAATTGTTTCCTGTAAATGTCTTATAGGCAACAGAGATCTACTATAACTAACCCTTAATAACTTAAGCTTTGATATCATATAATCAGAATACAAATCTTGGTGCTGAGTTAAAAGAGTTTTCTACATTCTTTAACTTATCCCCAAAGAAAATTCTGAAAGGAAACATAATCTTCATTTTTAGATCATAAACTGAGTCACTGTAATAATCAGTAACCAGCACAAAGTCACCTGGAGATAGAGTATTTGAGGGAAACTATGACAAAAAAAGCACCAGTCTAGCGCTGTGGGTTAATACGCTGGACTGCAAAGTCAGTTTGGTTCACGGTCACCAGCCGCTCCTGGGAAAACCTAGACAGGGTCGCTATGGGTTGGAACCAATTTGACAGCACTTAAACTAAAAGAGCTAATCAACAGAGGTTCTAATAGGAGTGAGCACACAATGGTGGTGATGGTGGTGGTGGTGTGCCATGGAGTCCATTACTACTCAAGCGACCCTGTGTGGAGTTCCAAAGGTTGTAAACGTTTGTGGGAACAGAAAGCCTCATCCTTCTCTCAAGTGGTGGTAGATTCAAACTACTGATTTTATAGCAGCCCAACTCATAGCCCACTACATTACCAGGGCATCTTAGATACATTGGAGCAGGTAAAATTAACCAGGAAAGAATGGGCTAAAATATACCATAGGTTATCAAACTATGGCAATTAAGTGTCAAAAGTTCACCAAGTATTTGCAATACAACCAGTGTGTAACCATAGGCACTGTCTAAATTTCAATTAAAGAAAAGTAAGAGAAGTGATTAAAAATGGTCATGGTAAGGGATGGAAAAAGCGAAAAACAAACACAGGTCAGCTATGAAGGTAGGAGAACTGAACATAATGCATCAACAATTTGCATAGTTATGATAATGAAAACTTTCTTAAATTATAAAAGTTTTGCAACAATGACTAGGCAAAGCATAGAAGACTGAATTTGGCTGCCTAACAGAATGCACTTAATATAGCTTTTGCCACTGTAAGGTAAAGATGCAGAAGATAGGAGATGGAAGGGGAAAAAGAAAAGGGAAAAGCTCTGATGTTTTCATGAAACAAAGCAGGTGTTCAGAGAGCTGATCTAAATGCAAATAAAATAAGAAACAAGGTTCTAAAAATATAAATTGAAAGTACTAATGTAATCAACCAACAGAAGACAATCACTGTGGGAGAAATGGGGAGAAGAGCTAGTGTAAATGAGCTAACGTCTATTGCTTCCGTGGGAGGGAATCAGAGATAAATATTTTAAATTGAAAAGTGAAGGTATAAATGAATGATACATGAAAATGTATGTTATTTAGAGTAAGGAGGTAACTACCAGAAACGGGGGGGGGGGGGGGGGGTGGAATCAGATACTTGCATTGTCTTGTATCACACAGTGAAGGCAGAGAAGAAACTAAACAAGAAGTTGGCAGTGGTTGTTGAGGGAAAGAGAAAATCAGGAGAAACAACAACAGTTAAAAAGTTCTTATGTCTGGGAAATGTGAATACAAATTATAGGAGGGCGGTTGGGAATCTGTTACTTTTTATGACCAGTTCTTCAGTCTTATTTCATGTCTATTATGGTTCGTGCATGAGTTCTGATGTGGCACTGTAGGTTAAGCACTGGACTGATACCACAGGGTCAGCAGTTCAAACCCACCAGCTGCTCCTCAGAAAAAGGGATGCTGTGAATTGAAAACAATTTGATGGCACACAAATACGACAAAAATGGCTTGTGCCAGATGCCCTGGTGACGCTGTGGGTTAGGAGTTGCTGCTAACCTTTAAAGCCTCCCTTAATAAACCTCTCTATTTTACTTTGAAACAGTCAGTATTTAAGTCATTTTTTGCTACAATGATGACAGTGTTTTATGTGGAATCACTTTTGAATGAATGTTCAAAAGGCCACAACAAGGCTAGCAGACGGTAAGTCCTCTACTCATACGACAGTGAAATTATAACATATAGTAACTGAACAAGTTTTCCGTTCCAAGCTATGATGAATCTGGAAGTACAAATTTAAAGTTCCTCAAGAGAATGATGAGATAGATTGTTTGTCCTGTGAACATGGATAGTCTCTGAAATCCTAGATAGGGTCACTGTGAGTCACAATTAACTAGGTGGCAGTGACTTCTGTTTGGTATGATATATGTTAGCATTTGCACTGCTAACATGAAGGTTAGTGGTTCAAACCCATCTAGAGTATCACAGGAGAATAGGTTTAGTAATCAGCTTCCATAAAGCAAACCCAATGAAGCTGTTCTACTCTACAGCACATGGGGCTGTCAGGAATTAGAATGGACTCAAAAACAACTATCAACAACAACAAAATGGTGGGTTTGAGACTTTAATACAAAAAATTTAAATAGAAAAATACACACACACAATAAATTAATCATTTCTTCTTATCAGTGTTCTTGTTAAGTGATGTAGAGTCGGTTCCGACTCACAGCTTATTAGTGGCATTGATATTAATCATCCTTAATTATAAAAACAAAACAAAACAGTATATTAAATAAATCCAGTGAACAAAACAAAAACAAGAAAGAAGAATATAAAACACAATAGCGTGTTGGCTGACCCTGTACCTTCTTCACTATGCTTGGGCTGCTCAAATCCAGTGTTGTAGCCACTGTGTACTTTAACTGCATTCCAACCTTGAGGGCTCATTATCAACACTATATTGACAATGATCTATTGTAACCTATACAGTAGTATTTGGCTAATTTTCAGAAGTGCATAGCCAGGCCTTTTGTCTTAGACTGTCTTTGTCTGAAAGCTCCAAAGAAACGTGTCCACTATGAGTATTATAAGTATCAATGGAATAGATTCCAACATCAATGAAACACATAAGCCGACAAAGTGAAAGAGGGCGGTGGTAATCATTTTTTCTTGACTGATATTGTCTATTATATTTACTCTTCTTAAACATAATTTATAAGAAACCCTCACTGGGAATAATGTCAACTCTCCCTAATATGGGTCCTGTTCTCTCTGTTTGTTCTTCCTTTAAATCCACAAGAGATTGATTATATCATCCCATAGCACCAAACTCAGGTTCTATTTTTTCATAAAGACAATAGATGGAGGACTTTTCTGGAAACGTACATGATTTCTTGTTGAGTGGGGCCAAGTATTCTCTACAGTCAGTAAAACTGTCTTTTTATTCATCTGTTTTGCTAAGGAGCTTTAGCATGTTCCTTGGGATTTCAACTGCCTCTTCCTTTCTATTCATCTCTATATTGTTTACCTCTTCAAGGATCATCACATTTCCAATCTTCATAAATGTATTCTCATTCTTCAAAAGTATCTTCTTTGTAAATAGCAACTGAATGCTTACTTCTTCTAAAAACGTTACAGCTTATTTTCAGTACTTCCATATTACTGCTGTTTCAAAGAGGCTGTCTGACACATTTGGTGCTACTGATTTGTTGTATGTGTGTGTGTGTGCATGTTGTACATATACAAGTTGTTAATGACAATGGTGGAATTCTATGTTATATAATATCTTCAAAACTTTCTATCTTAGTTCATAGTAAAGATTTAGTAACAGTAAGTGAAGAGTGAATGCTTTTGGATCCTGAACATAAGTCACTGGGGA